TTCAAGTACCAAGTATGTCAGCGCCTGTTATAACTATTTGAGCAATATGTAGAATTATGTTAAAACATATTTTTGTCAGATTGAGATTGGGAACTTTTAATACTCATCAGATATGTTATTTATAATAAATAAATTGTTATAGATATTAACAAAATGTAATTTATTATAAATAAATTGTCACATCGGGGTCACAAATTTAGAATGTGGTGTGTATTCTTATTCACTTGACTCCAGAATAGTTCGTGTGTTCAATGGAAGTCCAAAATAAAATAGGTAAAACTTTGTGTTTATATTGTTCTAAGAAATACACAATTCACAACTAATCTATAATATTACAAAATAATACTGGTTAACACCAAAGCTGGGAGACGACTGGCGTGCTAACGCTATAGGGTCGCAGGCGCAGCTACGCATTTGAGAACACATAAAAAATTTTAATATCAACACATTAGTGTCGCTACAATATTAATCTAATTTGTTTTTTATTCAGGATTTGTACAAAGATGAAGGAGTTCGACAGTGGAACAGTGAAGACAAATTTGAAGTTCGAGTTAATCCATCAGGTTTGATATAAATTAATTACATAATACTACCTCCTGCCTGCGGCCTTGCTTTCGCCATTAAAAGTAGCCTTAGTATTATTCCAGATACATCTACCCCTGTTACAGATTTCACCTCGATACTTTCAGCCGTTTTGACTTGACTAAGTAACAATCATAATATTTGGAAGCATTAGCTGGATCAAACAGTAATTTTGTGTGCCCATCCTTTTGGTATCACTCATAACTGTCATCGAATCGAGTAAGAAACTAAGAAAGAATAAGACAAACACATTTTACTATTCAACGAAATAACTAGTAACATATGTATCTACATAATGATGTTTTGTTTACGAATACAAACATCTCACATCGATCTTTCGCATTAAACTCATGTTCCTTCTAGAAAATCCTAAACACATAGATAATCATTTGTTTTTCTTCTTCAGGTGTGAAATTCTACAAGTTTATACCTCGTGCGTCGAGTGATGTGATCAAGTCTGACAGCGGTTTCGTATCAGATGCAATCGTTAACGTATTGATGAACAACAGTTAGTTTATAGTTTAAAAATAGAATAACTAGTTACCTAAGTACATAATTTAGTTGGTAAGAATAAAAAAGGTTGTTTATGAAAGAGTTTTATTTCTATTGAATCTTGAATACGTTTTATTATATCCTCTCGCGCATTTCTCGTACACACGTCACACGGGTGTACGAGAGAGTTGAGTGCCCATCGCGCAATTGTCACGGGTGTACGAGAGAGTTGACTGCCCATCGCGCAATTGTCACGGGTGTACGAGAGAGTTGAGTGCCCATCGCGCAATTGTCACGGGTGTACGAGAAACGATTGGATATTTTTTTCTGTGATGTATATTTTCAAGTTTGCAACCCGTTCTTTATTTGATTGAACAGAATAGTTCATTCGCTTTCTATTAAAATATTTACCCGTGTGTACGAGAGGCGCGTGAGAGGATATTCCTGTTAGGTATGCAGGACAAGGACGTTGAGCAAAAGACGGACATAGTCTTGAACCAACGATTGTGGCACCTGTCTACTATAGACTTACACGCAGAATACACACACTTTGACACGAAGGACATCTGGCGCGTGACAAGGCCCGTCATATTTTCTTAATATGGTCTGTGGGCCCGTCATTACACTTCATGGAGGTATTATCCAAATTATGAGGGTGGATAATACCTCCATACATTACGGTGTTGCAAATACACGCACACATAAATAATTTATTACACCACTTACATTTTGGGACTTCAATCATTTCTAAGTGACGTTACGTCCGCTGTTTTTTTAATATCCTTCGTCCAGGATAGTATTATTTTGTTTGCTATTAGAAATCCCACCAATACCTAAGTCTTAGTTTGAATTAGAATCAAAAATTGTAATTGAAACTGCGTAAGACCGTTTGAATAACGAGGCAGTCAAAAACCACAACGAACAACGAATAATAACATAAGTACGGTCGTTTCATATTAAAAGATAAAAAAAAAACGTTTAAAAAACATTTTCGTTATTATAAATTATGACCTAAAATAAAATTAACATTCGAATTCGTGCAAAGTAGTTCTAAATTGAATATAAAATTCAGACGAATATTTTGTTTTATGAAACAAAAGTTTGGGCTCGTCCGGGATTTGAACCCGGGACCTCTCGCACCCTAAGCGAAAATCATACCCCTAGACCAACGAGCCAGCTATCCACAAGATTCAAATTACTGACATGTTAATACATAATTACATTATGATACATTTATTACGAATTTGCAACCGTTGGTCACGACTGCAATAGAACTTCAATCGGACTGCACGTTTGGTTTGCATTTCAATTGCAGTCATGTCAACTGCATTCGAACTACATTCGAATTGCAGTTTGCGATTGGATTGCAGTTGAAATGCGGCCCGTATATCAAAAACCCTTACAGTAACGTCGAAACTTGTATTTATGTAAAAATGGCCAGTACCTAAATAGACTTAAATTATTTTACAGTTGGGTCTTTCCTTAATCAAGAATAAATTATTTCGACTGATGAATACAATAAAATATTAAAAAATAATCACACTTTCATTAATTGATTTTATGAAAGAAGAAGAAAGAAAGAAAAATAGTTTATTTGCACACCGTCACAAGGTACAATAACACAAAAAAAATATAAAACAATATATATAGCAAAGACGGCGCAAAAAGGCCAGAGCTCAGCTTAAATGCCGTGACACGAGTGTGCTCGAGTCGCGGCGCTGATTTTCAGCACTTGCCCGTGACTTATAATATTATATATTATACATTATGATTATCTTAATTTTAGTATATTTCCAGCAAATGTTTAAGAAATAGGTATGCTGTTTGGCGCTAAAAAAACGTGACGTCACAATACACAATCTCGTACGTAACATTCATAAAAACTGTCGTTTTTGACAATTCGAAAAAAGTATAGGAATTGACTAGTTGGCAAGTATTCAATTACCTTTAAGATAGTTTATATGGTGTATTTTGCTATAATCTGCGACATCTAGGTAGCGTAAATGGAAATTTAATAATTAATGCCACTTACCTACTAAAAATAGCGTGACTTTATAAAACCGTAGTGACTACCATTATTTTAATGTGAATAAAATAAAATACAGGTTTTGTGGAATTTCTATAGTTAGGGCCTCAAACGACATAGTACATGTACCTATTTAATTTATTGGCATAGTTTGTTTTTATTTAACATGTAAATTAAATATCGTCGAGAGGTCGCGGGACGAGGGATATTGGAGTTTTTATAAAGTATTCGGTTATAGCTGGAGGTCGGGGCTGAGCTATATATCTTTTTCGAAAATTAAAATAGCTTATAGATAGGCTATGGCAGTAGGTAGGCAGACCGTCGACCGTCGTCGTCGTAAAAAAATGGACGTGTAAAACTACCTTGCATTTTAAATTGAAAACTAGGTCGTGACATGGATCGTAAAAAGATGTGTGCACTTCTGTTATTGCTTAGGAGATACAGGAAAAAGAAATAAAGAAGATTTTGGGAAGGTAAGATTTTGATGCGCGATCATCAATTCGCAAGTTCTTGCGATGCGTAGAGGGAACTCGCACATTTTTGCGCTGCGACGTCGCATCGCAGTTTTGTGTACAAGCCCTTAGTCTGGAATAGTGGCCATACTCGAACAACTCTTAGTGTGATACATAAATTATGATTATTTTAGATTTTTGGAATGATAATCCAATCAAGTAGATATAAGCATTCATTATTATTATTGGCCATCGACGCGTAGGTACTAGGATAAGACATCGATGTTATTAATGCTAGGTATCTTCAGTTCACTTAATATCTAGTTTTAAACTGCCGGTTATATTGTATTGTCGGTTTTTACTAGTTATTGTAAGGAAGCATGTTACCTGTGTAGCTAATCGGTAAGTATACATATATGAAGATACTATAACGAACTTACGTGCGTAATTATCTATTAAATCAAAGTTTATTACGAGAATAAAAGTCATAGATAACAAGTAGCAGATACCTAGCTGTATAGATAATACGTCAAATGGTTTTTTTAGGCATTGTGTCTAACGGGTTGTCTTATTGTCTTATTTGTCGGTAGACTTGACTAATATCTAAAGACAGTATTTTGAAACAGGTTTAAATTTATGTTAAAATTACTTACGTAAATATTTAAGTTACATAGGTCTACCTATAGCAGATTGGCTGGCCGTTATAAGTAGAAACAATACAGCCTGTAAGATGCCGTTTCCAAAAGTTGTTGGTTAAGGTCAAGGCTCCTTGGCAACTGCGTGGACTAAACCGGATTAAAACGAAAGCGAGCCTATTAAATTAAATTAAATTAAATAAAAAAAAAACATTCAAGTAGGTATGAATATTTGTCTACACCTTATTTTACTGCATAGAAATTAGATGCGCATACTAAACCTACTAATCGTTTTGATAATACTTTACCATTCGTTTTTTTCATAACGCAGACTTCTTAATCTTAATCATTAATGCAGAAATTAACACTTCAAGTTAATAAGATTTTGCAAATCATTTTACAACATAGATAACGCTAACAATAATGTACTGAATGTGCGATAGCCTAATTTGAGTTCATTACTCGACTTAAACAATATTTTGATAGGCTACTGATTGTCAGCTACCTCAGTTCATTATTTATGTAAACCATCGTCTTATTTGGAAACCTGTTTTCTGAGGTATGTTTCTGGGTTACCGTTATCTCAACATTTTTAGCGAAAGTTTGGAGTTTCATCAAAACATTACTACATTCCATTAGTTTTATTATTATTGTATATCAGAGGACACTATTGTAATTTGTACGCATTATTGTGTTTAATTATTTTTTTTAGGTATTCCCGATTCCCGAACGCTGCCATTTACCGACACGATTTGACAACCATATGATTTTGCTTGCTGGCTGTCAAAAGTCAAATTTGTGTCAAATTAGAAATGTGAATTTCGGAAGAAAACGCTTGCGGCATAAATTATTATAAATTAAATAACTAGGGTTTTATGGATAACTAAAAATGAATGTAAATATTAAACAAATAAGTTGATCGTGACATTGCTACAAGTGCATACTAATCGGTAGTGCGCAACGTAAATACTGTTATCGTATGTTCGCATAAGAGCGAAAGAAAGCTGGTTATTGGTATTAGGTCAATGGTGTATGCGTGCCGGTAACGTGAGGCTGGGTGCTGACGTCGGCACAGTACGAGACGCGGCGGGTGCGGGCCCGCGGCCATCAGTTTGCGCCGGTTACATCGCTCGGTTAACACGTCCCGACTAACTAACGGTCGACGAACATCGTGAAAGTTACCTACAAATATACAAAGATGGGCGGAAGAGTAGAAAATGTCGGTATCCTCGCTATGGAGCTGTACTTCCCTTCACAATACGTCGATCAAACGGAGCTGGAAAAATTCGACGAAGTATCTACCGGCAAATACACGGTCGGACTGGGCCAGCACAAAATGGGATTCTGTTCAGACAGAGAAGACATAAACTCTATCTGTATGACAGCGTTACACAGACTTATAGAGAAGAACAATATCAATCTCCATGATATAGGGAGACTGGAGGTTGGCACTGAGACAATCATAGATAAAAGTAAGAGTGTGAAGACTTACCTCATGACCTTGTTTGCTGAGGAAGGAGCCACTGATATTGAAGGTATAGACACAACTAATGCTTGTTATGGTGGAACTGCAGCTCTGTTTAATGCTGTGAACTGGGTGGAGTCTTCATCGTGGGATGGTAGGAAGGCCATAGTGGTGGCAGGTGATATAGCAGTATATGGCAAGGGCCCGGCACGGCCCACAGGAGGTGCAGGAGCTGTGGCTATGCTTATAGGTCCCAAAGCACCATTGGTGCTGGACTGTGGTGTCCGTGCTTCATACATGACGCACGCCTATGACTTCTACAAGCCAGATCTGGCCTCAGAATTCCCATTTGTGGATGGGAAACTATCAATCCAATGCTACCTCAGTGCTTTAGATAATTGTTACAATTTGTATTGTAAGAAGATGAGGAAAGTTGAGCCTGACTTCAAAGGTTTGTTGAGTTTAGATGGTATGTTGTTCCACTGCCCATATAGTAAATTAGTTCAGAAGTCTCTAGCTAGGGTTTGTTTCAATGATTTCCTAAATGCATCCCCAGAACAACGTGAAGAACAGTTCCCAGGCTTATCTAAATTCAGTTCTTACAAATTGGAAGACACATACTTTGATAGAGATGTTGAGAAAGCATTCATGACATATAGCCAAGCTCTCTTTGATGAAAAAACTAAGCCTTCACTGTATATTGCAAAGAATGTAGGCAACATGTACACACCATCATTGTATGGTGGGCTTGCGTCATACCTTATCAGTAAATCTCCTGAACAATTGATTGGGAAGAAGTTTGCATTATTTTCTTATGGATCAGGTCTTGCTTCAACAATGTACTCGATAAACATATGCAATGACATGAGTGTGGGGTCAAAGTTGGCCAAGTTACTGAGTTCACTGAATGATACTGTGTCTTTATTGAATGAGCGACAGAATGTGGAACCTAGCAAGTTTTCTGATATCATGGATGTAAGAACTAAGAACTACCACACTGCTCCCTACCAACCATCAGGTTCAGTAGACATTTTGTTTCCCGGCACATACTACCTTGTCAACATCGATGATCTTAGAAGACGTTTTTATGAAAGAAAAGTTTGAGGCAAATATTTATTTTAGATTAATTTTGTGTGAATTGGTGCAGGAGGTATTTGGTTGTTTTGTTTGAAACTGATTAATTGTAGAATTATTAGAAATTAAGACTGTTATCTATCTAGTTTGCTGTTTATGAAACATGCGTCTCCAAGCTAATTAACAGTGTTTATATAAGTGCGACCTATTCACCTCGTAATAAGACATCAGCTTCAGGAAGCGAGTGTACTTTACACTGTATATTTGCACACAAAATCAATAAATATGAATGGACATTACAGTGTTAATATCTCTACCATTATTTATGTATTTTGAATACAAAATGTAGTTATGAATTGTGAAGGTTTGAATTTTTATACGGCTATATTTAAATGGTGTGTGAGGGGTATATGAAAAATGTTTATATTGTAAAGCATGTGTTAAGTTTTTGATGTTTTATTCAACATAATTAAATTAATCAATTTCAGTAAGTTATTTTTTATTTATTGTATTGGCCAAGCTCAAATGTAAACAAATTTATTTTGCATCACACCAAAGCTAAATAGGATTTAATCTATCATGAAAATGTTGATGTTTTAATAATTTCTTAAGCAATTAATTATATTTATATAAGTTGGTATTTCATATTAGTGCAATTGATAAAATATTATTTAAAAAATGTAAAATAGATTCCATGAAATGGACCATTTATTATTCATATTGTCAATAAACTTTTGTGAATTAAAATTATCGTTTTATTGTGTACTGTGTTGTGGTATTAAAATAATTGTTTCAGGTCAAGTTGTGTTGAACTGAAATAGCTGAGTAATTAACATAAATGGAATCTGCTGTAATTTGCGGTTTAATTACATAAAAAAAAATAATTAAATAATAAACCGCCGGTAAATAGTAAACGAGCAGACGCCGCAGACGGATCACCTGATGGTAAGCAATCGGCGTCGCCCGTGGACACCGGGCGCTATCGTTACTGGCCTTTTCGGGATTGTTGGGGATTCAGGGATTGGGGAGAATAGGGGGGGGGGGATTTGGGCCTCCGGTAACCTCACTCACACGACGTAACATAACGCAAGCGTTGTTTCACGTCGGTTTTCTGTGAGGCCGTGGCTTCACTTCGATCGTGACGAAGTATGGCTCTCTCGCATTTAAATATTCTTATGTAGTCATTACGCATGTTAAACAAAAGAAATTAACAGACAAAAGTTACGAACATAATTTCCTGTTATCAATTCAATTAATAATTATCAAATTGAGATTTTACAAGTAAGTACATTGGCAGTAATTGATAATCTTTAATAGCCTTTTTATCTCATGTTGCTTTGGCTACAATTTAATACAATCGGTAACAAAATAGTTTACCCACCTTTTTATCAAGATTACGCAACATGTGGAGGTATAAGCTGCCTCGTTGGCCGAGTGGTCGCAAGTGCGACTGCCGGGCAAGGTCTCGGGGTCGATTCCCGAGTCGGGCAAACTATTACTAGGTTTTTCTCAGTAGAAAGAAGCACGGAGTCTGGAATTGTGCCCGGTATTTGGCAATAGGCTCACCCCCTATTACATGGGACTCGTATAACAAATAGTGAAAAGTGAGTGTTACATTGTACAGTGGCACTAATTGCCATAATCTGCACCTCTGTCTATCCCTTTAGGGATAAAAGGCGTGATGTTTTCTTATATAGAGGTATAAGGTGTATAGCTATAAATATTTATTTACTAGCTCGTCGGGTTCACTCGCTCCTCGGCTCATATCGACTGTTGCGTGATGTTTTATAGTTTTATAGGTTTTTTTTAGCCTTCCTCGATAATAGACATAAAAAGAATTTACCTATGAAATTCGAACCAGCAGTTCCGCAGATTTGGTCTTGAAAGCGCTACAAACTATTCAGCTTCATAATAGGTTTTGACATAACATCGTTCATCTATACATAATCTTATATCTTATCTTATAGGTACTTCTTATCTTATACTTATTATATAAAGCGGAAGAGTTTGTTTGTTTGTTTGTTTGAACGCGCTAATCTCCTTAACTACAAGTCTGATTTGAATAATTATTTTTGTGTTATGATAGCGCATTTATCGAGGATGGCTATAGGCTATAAAACATCACGCTACGACAAATAGGAGCTCAGCAGAGCGTGTCAACATTTTTTTAAAAGAATAGTTGGTGCATAATCTACAATCGATACAGAAACCAAAAATATAGTTTTTGAAATTTTTGTCCGTTTGTCCGTATGTATGTCCGTGGTAAACTCAAAAAGTAGGTACTCTATAGATTTACTTCAAATTTTGCATGGATATTACAAACAGGAAACAGGCCAGGTCAAAATATTATAGGCTACAAATTAATGAATTCAAGATAATCTACCTATAATTTTTCATGCATAGCATACCTAAATTAGGTACTTTAATTAAACAACATAACAAAAGATAATTATCATTGTTTATTATGTTAAATGTTTAGTAAGTTCATATAAAAAAATCCTGGGCTAATTTTTATTGAATCGTAATACAAAAGGAAGAGAATTTAGGTACTACTAACGTAAGAACTACCAACCTACCCTACTTACCTATATAAAATAATTAGCCCCTTCCACGCTGTTTCACCCACTCTGCCTCAATAAATGAACTATGAAACATAAAAAGAATTATTCGAATCAGATTTCTTTCTTTCGTTCTAGATTAGCGCGTTCAAACAGCTTTATATAACAAAAAAAATAATAATAATAAACAGTAGGTATATTAGATTTACGTACAAATCCTGCCTGGCGAGAAATTATGGAACGAATTAGGTTTGCGTGTTAGATACATTAGTACCTACATTCCTACCTTTATAATGATTCCAAGAAATAACAACGTAGCTACTTACGTGTACCTAATTTAAAACTATTTTAACGACTATAAAGGCGATAGGTACTTTATACTTTAAACTGATGCATGCTCGCAGCGTGTAGGTGTACAGAGTACAGGCGAGCCCCCATGATTAGACTATCAATATCATTCGACATTCCAATTATTGACACGAACTTACAGACTTGCTTTCTAAGCCCCTGGTTAGATTTAACTGTAATTGCAAAACAGCCTTCTTTTTAAAAGAATAACGAATGGAGTTTCTTGCTCGTTCTTCTCCACTCGAATCGACATTTTGGAACGTTCGTTCCAAAATGTCGAAGCTAGGCGATCGCCTAGCTTCACTGACGGTCAGACTGACAGACTATTATTTATTTCATATTTGTTGACGTTTCAAAAGTACCAAATTTTGGTTTAATTGAAATAAATGCTTTTGAGTTTGAGTTTGATTGGTGGATTTGTGGTATCTACGGTAGTGGTGTGGCTATTAATAAAGATACAGATTTTTTAATAGGTAGTGTGTATTTACTGCGTGGTTGTCATTGGCTGTTGTGTGCTGTGTAACTTTTGCAGGTTCGATTCTATTATGAAATCTTTGTGTTCAGTTTCTGTTCGGGGTGGGATCTGTGTGTCTGTGTATGTGAAAGACTACAGACTGACATACTATTATTTATTTTGATATAATTATAAATATCGAGTGAATAGGTTGCTCATGGGTCGATGTGCTTCCATCTTAGTCCGCATTTCATCGCTACCACCAGGCGAGATAGTGGCCAAACATTGGCCCATCAAATATGTATACAATTTAACAAAAATGTTTATATAATATATACAATTTGTTGACGTTTCTAAAGTATCCAATTTTAGTTTAATTAAAAAAAAACGTTGCCGCACACTAGGATTTTCTCCTGTATCATGGGTGCGTTTACAAACATACAAGTTTACATACACATAATACCCAGCCAGACCCAGAACAACAATATGTGGATCACACAAAGAGTTGTTCTGTGCGGGAATCGAACCCGCGACACGTTGCACGGCAGCCAGTGGCCCAGGCACAGCACCACACTTTTTTTGACAACTTATTAGTTTTTAAATGCACTCACTCACGATACAGCAGAAAATATTAGAATAATTATTATAGATACTACGTAATTCTTAAGTAATTAATCATCAGGTCACTCATTCACAGGGGTCACAAGGAATCAGTCTATGATCAATAATTATATTATATCTCTGTTTACTATATAAACGTAGGTTTAAGTATGTCCACTTGATAACCTTTAAATTTAAATATGTAGTAGAATTACAAGTTACAGTTTTAAGACTAACAGTAATCATCAGCACGCACTTCGTATTTAAGTTAAGAAGTCAAGGACGTTGAAAAAATGGTGGACACAGCTGTCTCTTGAAACAATGACTGTGGCGCCTGTGCCTTTAGCACAATGCCACTTTAGCGCTTGTCTACAGAGAGAGTAGAAAACTAAATGTATGAGGATGACACTGACAAGTGTCAAAATTTACGTCAATTCTATATAATTTGGTTTTCTATTCTATACTATATGTCGTGGTGGCCCGGAGGTTTAAGACGCCCACTTCTCATGCATGAGGGTGCGGGTTCGAAACCTACCAACGGCAAGTACCAATGTGATTTTTTCCGAGTTATATGTAGGTACTTTCTAAGATTATTTAGACACCACTGACAAACGGTGAAGGAAAAACATCGTGAGGAAACCTGAACTTATAATTTCTAATTATAAGTTTGAAATCGCCAACCCGCATTGAGCAAGCGTGGTGATTAATGCTCTAACCTTCTCCGTGTGAGAAGAGGCTTTGCTCAGCAGTGTGCATTTATAAGCTGTTGATGATGATGATGATGATGATGATGATGATTCTATACATGTAGACAAGCGCTAAATGGCATTTGACTATAGCTTCAGCTACTCTTTTTTTTTTTCTTCAGAGTTGTAATGCTTTTGCTTTTTCGCTTATTACATAGAGAGGAGTGGAAGGAGGGTAGGGAGGCCTTTGCCCTGCAGTGGGACGATAAGGGCTGAAAAAAAATTCAGAGTTGTGGCACCCACCAAATACGACATGGCTACTGTATACACGCAGAACATAAACACGTTGATACGACGGACATCTGTCATTTTCTTAACACATAATTAAAACCACTGATATATTTGGTACTTTGGAGACTCGGTAGCCAAACAGGAAGAAAAAAAAATATTAGGTGCTTCAATCATTTCTGAATGATATTATGTCCAACTTTTAAAAAGGTAATTCTTATTCCGGATTCACATGCCTTATTCTGGATAGCCACTATTCATCAGATAAGAAATGGAAGGTAACGTAGGTAACCTATCCTATCTCGTCTTTCAATACCCAAATCATACGACAACGAAATACAACCAAAGTTATACATAACATCGTGCCTTTTACCCCCGATGGGGTAGACAGAGGTGCACATAACGGCACTTAATGCCACAGAGCAATGTGACAGCCACTTTTCACTATAAATGTTATGAGTCCCATGTATGGGGGTGAACATATTGGCATATAGCGGTCACAATTCCAGCCTCCGTGCTACTACTGAGAATAAAAAAAAGCCAGTAATACTTGTCTCGACCCGGGAATCGAACCCGAGACCCCTAGCCCAGCAGTTACACTTGCGACCACTCGGCCAACGAGGCAGCCTTCAAAGTTAAGTCGCAGAGAACCTAATGGGTTACCGGGGGGGCTCCGGCTCAAAGTGCAGGAGTAGGAACAGGGTGTTTTTTAGT